CCTCCTCCTTCTCCTCCTTCTCCTCCTTCTCTTCCTTCTCCTGATTCACTTCCTTCCCAGCCTCCTCCTCCCCTTTCTCTGCCTTCGTTTCTGCCTTGATCCCACTCACCTTCTCACCCTCCTCTACTCCCTCGCCCTCCTCCCCCTCATCCACATCTTCCCAGCCGTCCTTGGAGCTCCCCTCTCCCTCATCCCCACCCCTCCCATTCGCATCCCCACTCTTCCCATCAACCAAACCACTAGCTCCTCCACTCTCCTGTTTCTCCTCGTTCCTCCCCCCTCCACTCTTCTCCTCCTCACTCACTTTATCACACTCATCCTCGCCTGAATTCTCCTCTTTCTCGCTGTGCTCCTGCTCCTGATGCTGGTGCTGGTGGCTGTGGCTGTGGCTGTGGCTATGGCCGTGCCCAGCAAAAGGCACAGCAGCACCTTTCGAGGTGAGTTCCTCCACACGCCTTACGATTTTCTCCACCAGAAAGAAGAGCACGATGCCCACTGCAGAGGGGGAAAGGGTGAGGGGAAGGGATAGAAGGGCAAGTGAGAAAAGGGCTGTGGGCAACACAGCAGCGCCTCTAAAGGTGAGTTCCTCCACGCGCCTGACTATCTTCTCCACCAAGAAGAACAGCACGATGTCCACTGGTTTGGTGGGGGGAAAGGGTGACGGGAGAAGGTGGCGGCACAGGTGACCAAAGGGAGATGGGATGGTGCTCAAGGCGCCTCTAGAGGTGAGCTCCTCAACGCGCCTCACGATATTCTCCACCAGGAAGAACAGCACGATGCCCACTGCAGTGAGTTAGAAAGTAGTGCGCAAGTGGGGAGAGGGAGATGTTAACGTGATGTGGACCGATGATGATGGTGGTGATGGTGGCTGTGGGAGGAAGCACAACAGCGCCTCTAAACGTGAGCTCTTCAACGCGCCTCACAATGTTCTGTACCAGGAAGAAGAGCACAAACAATGCCCACTGAATGAGAGGAAGGGTAGAAGGACAAGTGAGGCAACGATCGTGGGATGGTGCTGGTGGTAGCGTAGCGGCTGTGTGTGAAGAACAGGTTTACACAGCACCATCCAACAACATTTGCGAGCAAAAGGTCGACTCACCCAGCACGGCAATGCCAATAGACAGGTCCTCAAGCGAATGCGCGTGCCCTCCACTCTCCACTGCATGCTCATGGTCATGCCCGTGCCCATGCCCATGGTCATCTGAATGGGATGCATGCCCATGTGCATGGTCATGTGCATGGTTGTCGTGGTTGTGGGAGTGTGCTCCACTGCCTGTAATCGTGGTGACACGGACACGAAGTTTATACATAATGGCAACGAGGTGAGATCGAGTCGAATGAAAAGCCACCATGTGAATGCAGTGATGGTGTGCCGGGAATGGGGTTCATAAGTCGTGTTTTGAGTCGACTCAAAACATGACTGCAGTGATGGTGTGTTGGGAATGGGGTTCATAACGGAGAAGAAAGGAGGGACCTGATGGGCAGAGGTGAACGTAGCAGTGAGTAAAGAGGTGCTACGCTCAACTCAGAGTTGAGGCGAAGGCCATGAGGGGACTCAAATTCAAGAGAACCGAGAGGAGCAGTATTTGAGGGCCGGAGGTGTGGGGAAGTGTGGGGAGGGGTGGGGGTGAGGAGAGAGAGAGGGGGAGGAGAAAAGAAGTTCAGATTTTTTTTCTGAGAGAAATTTGGAGGAGTAACGGCGAGGCGAGGGATGTGAGGAATGGAAGAGAGGGAAGGTATGTATCACAAAGGAAGCTCACCAAATGCATGCGGTAACTGGTGCAGGAAGGCATCTCCCAGCATCGCTCCCGCCTGCAGAGAGCGAACGAGGCAGACGGAGAGTCCAAACAGAGGTGACTAATTACCAGTAAGTTCTAGGTAGGGTCACTCAAACGGCATGCGGTGAGGTGAGTAACTGGTGCAGGAAGGCATGTCCCGGCATAGCTCCAGCCTGCCACCCACTCATTCATTCACTCAGGCATGGACTCACTCCCTCGCGCACCCACTCATTCCACTCACTCACTCACTCACACATTCACATCACACTCTCACTCACCCCGAATGCTGCCAGCCCATCCACCAGCGCCCGGGGCAGTTTGCCCTTGTCTGCAGCGAGACAAATGCACCCAGTGGGGAGGGTGGAATGAAACAGGGCGGGTGTGAGAGAGAGCGAGGGTAGGTGTGAGAGGGTAGAGGAATGCGCGGGTAGGTGTGAGAGGGTAGAGGAATGCGCGGGTAGGTGTGAGAGGGTAGAGTAATGCGCGGGTAGGTGTGAGAGGGTAGAGTAATGCGCGGGTGGGTATGAGAGAGTAGAGGAATGTGAGAGGTAGGATGATTTAGAACAGCAACAGTGGAATCGAAACAGTCAGCGCAAGATGCAAACGGTCATCACAGAAGAATGAGGATTACAGCAGACGAGCGGCAGCGGCCATCACTTCCCCCCATCCCATGGTGACTTCTGAGTCGAAAGCAAACAATTGATTCAGAAGGGGCTTACAGCAGACGAGTGGCAGCAGCGTGAGGCAGATGAGGGAGCAGAGCGAGACCACGAGTGCACTCCCCATTGCCTCCAACCATATTGCTGCCAGAGGACGAGCGGAGCAACGGGCGTGAAAGTATGGGATCACGAAGGCAGTCAAGCAAGGCAGGCAGAGATGAAGCAGGTGGGTTGGGTTGGGAAGTGGGGGGAAGGGGGGTGGGTCTGAGTCGACTCAAAGGACAAATTTTGCGCGAGAATTGGATCACAACCGCATTCAACCACAGTCGAGCAAAGGCGGGAGAAGGTAAAGCAGGCGGGTTGGGGTTAGGGGATGGTGGGAAGAGGGGTTCGGGGGCGTTCGAGAGGGGAAACGAAGATCTGATAAGTGCCGAGGAGAAGAGAAGAGAGGAGAGGAGAGGAGAGGAGAGGAGAGGAGCAGAGAGGAGAGGAGAGGAGAGGAGAGGAGAGGAGAGGAGAGGAGAGGAGAAGAATTGCTGCTGGATGTGGAAAAGAGTGGCAAAAGCAGCAAGAGATTTCTGATCCAGGGGCGTACCTAGCATCTTCGGATCCATGCTCCAGATAGGAGCACCGGCCTCTCAGTCCTCCTCCTCCTCGTCGTCCTCCTCTGCTTCCAGCAGCGCCCTCTCCTCCGCCTCTTCCTCTGGGTGCCTGAACCCTGACGCTCGCTCCCTCTCTTTCCTTGCTGCCTGCGCTGCGCCTTTCAGTTTCGCTGCTTCGTGGGAGTGACGGTGGTCTTGATGATGATGCTGGTGGTGTTCGTGTGCATGCCCATGCTCATGCCCATGCTCATGCCCATGCTCATGCCCATGCTCATGCCCATGCTCATGCCCATGCTCATGCCCATGCTCATGGTCATGCTCGTTGTGTGAGTGTGCATGCATGTGTGTGTGCTCATCTGCACCATGCTCTTCCCAATGGGATAGGATGGAGAGGGTACGTGGGGTTGGGGGAGAAAAGGGGAGAACAAAATGCGTGTTAGAGGATCAGATTAACCTTTCGTGTTCATGTGACATCGCTGTGGCTTTGGAAAGCAATATCAGTCTTACGAGTTTGAGCATGCAATTTCAGTGCTTCAGAATGCAATTCAGTCCTTCCGTAAGGCAAATATAATGCTCCAGGAGGTGATTCGTTTACCCTCCAAGACGAAATTCAGTCTTCCAGAATGCAGATTCACTGCTACAGAAAGAAAAGGTGTGGTCAAGAAGCAGTTTCCAGTGTATTCAGAAGGCAATTCCAGTGTTACAGAATGCAATTCTATTGCTTCAGATGCAAATTCTGTGCGTCAGAGTAAGATCAGATGCTGCTTCCGGAAAACACTGAGTGCTGGACGCACCTAGATCTTCCCAGGATGACCATGATCCACCGGCGCCAGCACCATGCATGTGACCACCATGGTCATGGTCATCGGAATGCCCGTGGTCATGGGAATGGTCATGGCCGTGGCTGCACTGCGCTGACGCAAGCTCTGACGTCGTCGCCAGAAAAACCACCAACGTAACAATCACGGTAAGGGACACGAGGAGACCTCTGGACGTCATCGCGTGGAATTGGCGAAAGAGATTTACGGAAATGGTGGACTTTAGCAAATTCAATGTGAATGTAAATTACGCGGAAAGCCGTACAGGTCCTTCTTCTTCCTAAACGAAGTTACGAATACGAGACTTGGCCTTACATTCCTGTAACTGTCAGAATTTACGGCTAGGTGCCGGAACCAGGCTCAAGTCAAGTAGTAGTAACCTAAATTAGTGAAAAGAAGAACGGAAATTGAATGAATTGTGAGTGGAACGGATTTGTGACAGGAGCAACACTGCGGGAGTGGAGATGCTGATGCTGTGTGATTAGTGGCTCCCAGCTCTTGTTCCAGATGTACGTTTCAGTGCGTTTCAGTTGGGTTCCATTGCAATCTAGATCGCTGGATGAGCTGTGAGTGGTTGAGCTTGGTGTAAGGATTCAGGAGATGTGAACATTGGGAACTGCTTGCAGGGCGTGTCCGCGACGGCGATACCTGACCAGAAGACATTTCTCACTCCTTTGGCAGCGCCTGTTATTTGACTCCGAGAATGTACCCGGGTCACAGATCTTGATTAAGGGTTTCGTAACACGGCAAATTAACTCGTTACTTGAAAGCGGACGCAGACCAGGGCTCAAAGCCTTGGGGTCAGCGATTAGAGCCAAACAAATTGGCTGAGGGCGATGCCGTGGGTTTTAGTGCGGTTCTTCTAGCTTCGCACCCTCACAAGCCATCTCCTCCATGAAGTCCCTGGGTTTGCAAGTATATGCAGGGAGCAGATTCCATATTCATGGTTGCGTGTGCTCCGCGTGAGCCTTTGCTTGCTGTTCGTCATGCCTCCCGACCGGACCATGTCTTCATGGTTGCCTTATCACCTGATTCGTTGAATGCTTTTCCTTTTGTTGGAGCTTTGTTACAAGAATTAAGAATCCTTGGTATAATCAGGTCCGGAGGTACTGTGGTTTCGCCTGATCCACCGGAGTGGTAGCGATGGCGGGATACGACGATCCTCCCCCCTTTAGAGACGGAAGCAGCGCACGATCAGGCAGCACGGATCCACACACCGATCTGTACGCGCTATTGCACGTCTCGCGCGATGCTTCCGACGATGATCTGAAACGCGCGTATCGGCAGCTCGCGTCCGTCTACCACCCTGACAAGTACCCCTTTCCGCAGGTCAGTCGGCGACGATTCAAATTCGATCGCTTTGCAATTTAGCACCGTCAGCATGAAAGTATTTTCCAGCTAATGGCGGTTCTTCGGTTTTGAGCTATAGATGTTTTTTAGTCACGTTCCCGCACCCGCCTCGCCGCCGCTCACGTCGTCATTCTTCCGCAAGGGGTTATTCTCGTTTTAATTCGCCCTTGCTACTTGTTACAGATGCAAGATGTCGCCAAGGACCACTTTCAGCGGATCCGATCCGCGTACGAAGTGCTTTCTGATCCGGCCAAGAGACAGGTGTGTGAGAATGTCGTGACGGTATGTGAGTGTGACAGTAACTGTGGTAATCTCTGAGTTCTCTTGCAATTTGATCCTCGTACTTAGTGCTTTTTGATCCGGCCAAGAGACATGTGTTTGAGAAGGTCGTGACGGTATGTGAGTGTCACAATAACGGGTGGTAATCTGCGCTTGAGGCTTTTGAGAGGTCTTGCAACTCAGAATCGCGTACGAGGTGCAAGGAAGAAAGAGCGTTGACAACAACAGAGAGAATAGGTGTTGATGTTGCAAGGTCTCTTACCTCCGTCCACCACCCCCCATCTCTCCGCACCTCTCCCCACCTCCCTCCACCACTCTCCACCTCACTCTCTCTACAGGTGTACGATCTGTACGGCATAGAGGGCGTGGTTTCGGGCATGGAGCTGGGCCCTCACCTGCGCACGAGGCAGGAGATACGCGAGGAGTGGGAGCGGGCGCAGAGGAGGAGGGAGGAGCTCAAGGCGGCCATGCGCACTCAGCACTCCTCCTCCATGTTGCTCTCTGTCACCGCTGCTGACGCTATCGCCTCGGGCTTTGAGCGTTTTCCTAGAATCACTGGGTATGGATTGGGAGGGCAGGAGGGTTGTGTGGTATGAAAACGATTTGAGAAGTGGGGGGGTTGGTTTGAGTGGGAAGAGTGGAGTGGGAACGGGCGCAGAGGAGGAGGGAGGAACTCAAGGCGGCTATGCGCACTCAGCACTCCTCCATGCTGCTCTCTGTCACTGCTGCTGATGCCATCGCCTGGGGGTTTGAGCGTTTTCCCAGAATCACTGGGTACGGTTTCTGGGAGCATTGGGAGGAGTGGAATGAGTAGGAGCAGTGGGAGGAGTGAGAGGAGTGGATTGAGTGGAACGAGTGGGGGACTGGATTGAACGGGAGGAGTGGGAGCGGGCGCAGAGGAGGGAGGAATCTGGTTTTTTAGAATTCTCAAAATAGAGGAGGGAGGAGCTGAAGGCGGCTATCAGATGTCAACGCAGGTGCAGGCGGCGCTATCAGACAAAGGACACGCCCGTGCTGGGCGGCTCCATGCTCATGAGGTGCGTGGCGGGGGGAGGGTCGATGAGGCTCCTTACCCACACGCCCCCATTTCTCCTTAAACCCTTCACCCCAAACACCAGCATGCAGATGTCGACTCAGGTGCAGGCGCCTCTGTCAGACAAGGACACGCTCGTGCTGGGCGGCTCCATGCCGATGAGGCGCTTCTTTATAACCCCCCACCCCATATGCCACCCTGCCCCCCCCCATCCCAACCCCTGGTCCTTCTTCCCCCCCCATTAGCATGCAGATGTCAACGCAGGTGCAGGCGGCGCTATCAGACAAGGACACACTCGTGCTGGGGGGCTCCATGCTCTTTCGTGCCTTAGCCCCTTACCAACACCTCCCCTTCCCCCGGAACCCTAAACCCCTCTTCTCAGAATGCAGATGTCGACTCAGGTGCAGGCGGCGCTGTCAGGTGCAGGCGGCGCTGTCAGGTGCAGGCGGCGCTGTCAGGTGCAGGCGGCGCTGTCAGGTGCAGGCGGCGCTCGTGCTGGGAGGCTCTATGCTCATGAGGCGCGTGGCAGGTGGAGGGTCCATCCATGAGGCCCCTTACCCACACTCCCCCATTCCCCCTTAAACCCGAAACCCTAACCTTGTCCCCAGCATGCAGATGTCAACACAGGTGCAGGCAGCGCTGTCAGATAAGGACACGCTCGTGCTGGGGGGCTCTATGTTCATGAGGCGCGTGGCGGGGGGAGGGTCCATGGTGCTCCTTACCCACACTCCCCCATTCCTCTTTAAACCCCAAACCCAAAACCTGTCTTCAGCATGCAGATGTCGACTCAGGTGCAGGCAGCGTTATCAGACAAGGACACGCTCGTGCTGGGGGGCTCCATGCTGATGAGGCGCGTGGCAGGGGGAGGGTCCATGGTGGCGATGTTTCGCCGGCAGATAGACTCATATCAGACAGGGGAACTGGTGGTGGTGGTGGGCATGCGCACTCAGCTCACCCTCTCCACTGCCAGGTACTGTGTACTACCCAGGGTGTTTGCTGCGGGGGAAGGGCCGTGGCGGGGGGAGGGTCCATGGTGGCGATGTTTCGCCGGCAGATAGACTCATATCAGACAGGGGAACTGGTGGCGGTGGTGGGCATGCGCACTCAGCTCACCCTCTCCACTGCCAGGTACTGTGTACTCATTCAGGGATTTATTCTCAGCGAGCAGCAAACAAGGCCAGGCCAGGTACTGTGTACTCATTCAGGGATTTTGAAATGTCTCACCTATCTATTCTAAACAGGGCGTAGTAATCTTGATTGTTTCACCTATCCCACTCTCAAGTTTGGGGCTTAGATGCCATCCCGTCTTATCCACTACCTCTCGCCCCTTCCCATGTGCAGACAAGTGTCGCCGTCCACAAAGGCGACAGCAGGGGTGACGTGGCATGCTGACGACGGCTCGCTCTCATTGGCCAATTCGTGGACGTCTCAGATCACCGAATCCACTGCTGCATCGGTAGGCTAATTCTATCTTTGGTCTATTTATTCGTTCATTTCAGTCGTCTCACAAAAGATGCTTCTCAGTCACTTGTTAGCATTCTCGTCGCTCGTGCTCTTCATTCTTGTTTTTTTGCTCAACATGATACCTGTCTGTCTCTCATGCAAATCACCCATGGTAGATGACTGGAGGTCCATGCAAGCGTTTACCAAGGCAAACTAAGCTTAGAATTTCCGTCGGACTTGATTCTTCTGGAATGTTACATGCCGCTTTTGTAATAATCTCTCCCGCAGATCAATATTGGGTTGGGAGCCGATGGTGGGGCAGGGGTGGGTTGGCACACACAGAAGGACAAAAACTCATTTAATGCAGAAATTAAAGTGAGTGAGAGATTAGGGCGGAGATTACTCCAGTCATTTTTTTTCATCCAGTCCTAAACGCATCTTTTCCCGTGTTCTTGTTAAGGAAAACATTCTAATACTCTGTCCCCATTGTTCTGTTCAATTACTGTCTTACCCTTTTGGCCGGCGAATAATATATTTTTTTACAATGCCAGTCTGTCTTCTCTCCTCCCTCTCTTGTTCCCCCTGCTCCCCTCTCCACCCTCTTCGCCCCAAAGGTGATAGAACACACCCCCCCTCTTCCCCCCGTTTCCCCCTTTCCCCCTGCTCCCGGTTCCCCCCCACTCTTCCCAACCAGGTGGGAGCGGGGCTGTCTTCTGGTGGCCTCACAGCCACATTCGTGAGAAGGTTCTCAGAACATTCGTCAGGAAGAATACACGGCAGGCTCGGAACGTGAGTGTGGTTGTGGGGGATGCAACTCTGTGCGCTGTCAGCAGGTAGGTTTTGTTTACGAGTTCCTTCAAGCAATTACTTTCCGCCTTTCCTCTTTCCTCCTACCCCTCTTCCCCCTTCCGCTTTCCTCCTCCTTCCTTTTCCTCTTCCCCTTTCCTCTGTCCTCTGTTCCCTCCATCCCCTTCCTCTTTCCTCCTTTCCCGCTCCACCCTTCCCACCAACAGCACAGGAGCAGACGTGGAGGTGGGGGGCAGCAGGAAGATATCAGACAACAGCTCTCTGGGCTTCTTTGTCACCATGGGCCTGCAGGTGAGGCCGTTCATTGGTGCACTGTAAAACCCTCTGACACACGAGTGCATATGAGGACATGTGGGTTGGAAGCAGGAAGATATCAGACAACAGCTCGCTGGGCTTCTTTGTGACCATGGGCCTGCAGGTGAGTAGTGAGACAGGCATCGTGGCCTATGGCACTAGCAGGCGAGTGTGTGTGTGTGTGTGCTATGAGGTGGGCGGCAGCAGAAAAATATCAGACAACAGTTCCCTGGGCTTCTTTGTCACCATGGGACTGCAGGTACATTGGGACTGGCCGTCACTGCACACCACCGCACTTCACCCCTGTGCTCAGAAAGTCCTCGTTATTGCTATAGCATGCAGCGTGCACACATGCTTGCACTAGTCCCCAACTCCACCGCTCTCTGCCTCTCAGCAAATCATCCCACCCACTCATTGTCTTACCCCTTACACAGGGCACTCTATGGAAGGTCCGCTATTCCCGAGGCGGTCAGAAGGTCACATTGCCAGTGAGTGAAACCGTAGCTTTTATTTCCTTCTTTTCCCCAACATCTGTGTTAGCATTCCAACAAGCAGACTTGATAGTATATTATTTTTCTCCTCCTCTCTCCATCCGTGTTTGCTTGTTTTACTGCGTGATGGCGTTGTTGTTAATGCTGGTGGGGCTCCTTGGCATGGGATCCCCACTATTGTTACACCTTTCCCACCGTCCTCCCTTACCTTTCTCCCCACCCCCGGCCAGATTCTTCTCTCCCCCACTCTACGACCAGCCATCAGTGTTCCAGCCATTCTTATACCCTCTGTCACATATGCTGTGCTGAAGGTATTACCTCTCACAGCGATTATATGTGCTGTCCTGATCGTATTCCATCGTTGCTGCCCGTATGTTCTCCTGTTCTATGCTATTGTGTCGTTGCTGCTTCCTTTCCACACCCATCACTCTTCCATCTGAAGTTTTTCAACAGAGATCCATCTATTAGCTGAGAGACTCGCTTTGCCTCTCCTCTTTCTTACTTCCATTTTCTTTCCGGTCCTCCTTCCCAGCATTGGGTGTTCAGCCGGTGGAAGCAGATTCGAGAGGCTCGGCAGGACCGGGAGGTTCGGCAGAAGACAGCGAAGCAGGTCTGGGAGTCCATGGCTGAGGCTCGGCAGCTACAGGACATGATGGCTCCGGTGGTAACCAGACGGGTTAACGCGTTACAGCAGCGGCCCAACGGCAACGCTCTTATTATTCTATCTGCGAAATATGGGCGTCTAGGAGGAGTGGAGGAGAAGGAAGAAGGGGAGAATCGGGATAGTAGCAGCAGGAGTCGTGGTGATGGTGATGTTGGTGGTGGTGGTGGTGATGGTGGTGGTGTTGGAAGGGAAGGGGAGGGTTCAGGTTCAAGAATAGGGTCGATGCTTAGAGGACTAAGAGGATTGTTTACTATTGGCCTAGGAGGAACAGGAGGGGAGGAGGGAGTGGGTGGAAGGGAAGAAGAGGATGAGGATGAGTGGGAGGAGGGGGAGGGGGAGGGGGGAGCAGACAGAGTGGTGTTGCCTCCTGCAGTGTGGGATGTGCGCGTTCCTCTGCAGTTCCTGGTGGACGATGCTACCAACACACTGCAGGTATGCGTGCTGTCTGTGCTGTCTGTGCTGTCTGTGTTGGGTGTGCTGGGTGTTTGTGCTGCCACATGCGTCCAAGCAAACAATACGTCACACATGCGTGTGTGCTGCGCATGTGTTTCCTTCACTTAATCCACATACATGCACACATTCATCTTCAAATGCCTCTGCAGCGTCTGCTCGGCAGTGCGTGCGTGCGTGTGTGTGTGCTCTCATCCATGCGTGTGTGCAAACCCTGCACCCATCACCCCTCTTTTTTTCCTCCCTCCCCCCCCCGTCCCCCTTCCCCCACTTCTCTCTCCCCTTCGTCAGTTGCACGAGGGGGTGAGCAAGAAGGGAATCATGGGCTTCTGTCATCCCGCACGTGGACTGCCCAAGAAGCTGGCATTGCAAGCCCAACCCTCCCCACCCCCGTTTTTCCCCCTCACCCACCCCCCCCTCCCTCCTCAACCACCACTCACACACACCCACAGTTGCACGAGGGGGTGAGCAAGAAGGGAATCATGGGCTTCTGTGATCCCGCACCTGGACTCCCCAAGAAGCTGCGAGTGCGATACTCCTACAGGGGGGAGGAGAGGGAGGTGAGTGCTCCATTTTTCTCGCACTCCCATTGCCGCCTGCCCGTCGTGCCACTTTGTTGCCGGTCATGAACTAAACAGTGGATGCACACTTCCATAACATATTCTTAGCTGATGCATTCTTCGTGTGTTATTACCATGTCCATCTTTGTGTGTTATTACCGTGCCAATGTGAGCAGGTTATTGTGAAAGATCTGGAGGCACTCTCACTACCCCTACCGCCAAGAGCGTCGTAGCGGCGAGGGCTGTGTGAGTCTGTGATGCTCCCCTATCGTGGTTCAAATTATCTTGAATTTGCAGGATTGGGTGTCACCATGGAAGGTGTTTCCATAGTAGAAGAGTTGTATAACAACAAATTGGATTAGTTCTTTTACAGAAGACCCTACTTTTCAGAGAGTTGGAAAACACTGTTCTGCTTTTCATAAGGATGAGAACAGACATCAGAAAGAACTGTCATTCAGGAACGGTGTTTGCATATTTCATACATCAGACCAAAGATTAGAAAAGGATACATCAGGAAAAAATGTCATCCAGAACCAGCGCTTGCACGTTTCATAGGTGTCAGGATTTGTTCACTTTCTGTTCAATTGAAACGGTTGGCTGATTTGTGCGCTAAAAAACGGTATGTTCTCTTCATGAGAATAACACCATCCAAAGGTTCAATAACATAACTCGGTGGAAGTCAGCTTGCATCGTAACATATAAGTCAGATTCTGAGACTTCACCAAATATGTCTTTTGACAGTCACAACTTTGTTCAGTGCAAGGTCGCGTATGGTACCAAAATTAAAGCAGCACTTCCGTCAGGAGAAGAGCTGCCAGAAATTCAGGCTACGTCACAATCCTTGGCAGCAAAGCCAGCTGCAGGCATCTTTGTGAATGCCGTGGGATCATGGTTTGTCTGCACAAATGAGATTGCAAGAAGCAGGAACTTGTTAGCGAACGACAAGCATGTCGCGGCATGATGTGGACATGGAAAGAGAACTACGTAAGGTGGGAACAGAAACAAGCAAGGGTTCAAAGGGCAATGGGTCCATGAGTTGCACCAAGGCGAGGAGTCAGTAAACGGAAGTTTGGCAACAACCAGATCGAATCAGCAAGGATTGCTCAGTCTGGGGCGACAACGTAATCATCATCCTCCGTACGCCTTTGCAACTCATACAATGTATCACATTTGAAAACAAAAAAGATGCTAACGAACGAGAACTTCGTAGTGCCTGGCCAATACGAGCAATCATATTGCAGACGATAACGACTCATTATAAAAAGGGTTGAAAATGCTGGGGTGGCGTGGAATCAGTCTGACGTGCAAATCAAAGTTTAAAACATCAAAGAGATCAGAGGTATCGTTCAGGTGGATCATCACTTTCCAGCCAACCCCAAGAACTGAGTCGGATATAAACGCCAGGAAATACTTTATTGTTAGCAGCACATCATGGGTGCAGGCGTTGACTCACCATTATAAGCCGCACGCACTCGTTGCCGTTCGGCCGTTCGGGAACGATGCACCGGGGGTATGTGCCTGATAGCAAGTACCAGTCACCCTGGTTGGGTAGAAGCAGTCGGCATGCTAAAATCGCCCGGTGCGAGGCTCATGATGGAAAGGGACAGGGACAGAGCCCCTGTAAATGTCTTCACCTCATGGGGAAAATAATGCCTCCACTCACGGAAGAGCTGGAACAGACAAGGCAAGCAGGTAGAATGGAAGCTTTGCAAAGGGAAGTTGGGAAGGGAAGCTTTTATGGATGTGGCATGGGCCTGATGGTTTGATGAGAGAAAGGGCACCTGGCAGCGTGGGGAGAGGGTACCGGTGGAAACCACCCTCACATTGGTGGATCGGGGGTTTCGAGAGAGGGTTTCCAACTAGGCGCAATAGATAGACGAGACAACTTGTTTTGTGTGAATGTGTTCCAACAAACTGGAAAAGTGAACCGTCTATTATCGAGGATCTTGACATCCATATTATCAAGAGAGCCGAATGTTATCGTACACAAACGTGACGAATATCGTCCAACCTCTTAGAACCATCTCAAACAAACACGGGCAGAGCAGCAGAGCAGCCCCCCCAATCAAGCAATCAACCCCAAATTCATTTTTGCACTGCTTGTGAAAGCTCGACATTTGCGCAGCAATTGGAATAAATAATCGGTCCGCGTACAACGTTCACGTGCTGCCGTCGTTTTCTGTCAACCCATCGCGCGGCTTCGACGCAGGTCGCTATGGTCATCGCGCTCCCATTTGCCTCCGTTCCTTGCGTTGCTCGCGTTCCCACCCGCGTGAGAGCGCGCTTGTCCTCCTGTCACTTGCCCTCTCGCTCGATTTCGCATCTCCCGCATGGCTCGCTCTGTTTGCGTCGCAACGGCGATGATTCTCGCGGGCTGGGTAGTCCCGCGATGAGTCTGCGGACACGCGCTGGCGTTGACGACAACGCTCGACGGAGACAGCACGTCGCGAGGCTTTCTCTCTCGCAAGAAACCGCGTCGTCATCTGGCGATAACGAGTCTGTTCTCAGCGAGGATACTGGCGATGAGGGAGATCTTTTCGACCCCTTCGCTCCGACTGACTTATCCGACGACGACCACATGTCCCTTGCTGGTATGCCACGTGTCCTAGTACCCGTGTTCCACCCGTTTCCCTGCCACGTGTCTCACCTCAGCACGTATAGATTATAGCAACACCCCCCTGTCCCCTTTCCCCTCCCCCCTCCAACCTCTCCTCTCCCCCCTCCCTGCCCCCCCATTCCTCTCCCCTCCCTCCTCCCCTCCCTTTTTCCAAATTAGAGACTATGCGTGAGCTGGACGATCAGCTTTCACGTCGACCGTTGGATCTAGATCCGGCGGGCTACTTCATAATCTACGTGGACAGGGAGCAGCAGTGCCTGGTCGCGCAGCACTACGGCAACCTGATCGACAGTAAAGGCCGCGCGTGCGACCCTGTAACGGGGAAACCCATTCCCTGCGATGGCTCCTACAAGCCCACCCCCCTCCGTGTCTACCGGTAAGCTTCGCCCTTATCCTTTGAGAATTCTCAAGCGTGCGACCCTGTAACGGGAATACCCATTCCCTGCGATGGCTCCTACAAGCCCACCCCCCTCCGTGTCTACCGGTAAGCTTCGCCCTTATCCTTTGAGAATTCTCAAGCGTGCGACCCTGTAACGGGAATACCCATTCCCTGCGATGGCTCCTACAAGCCCACCCCCCTCCGTGTGTACCGGTAAGATTCGCCCTTATCCTTTGAGAATTCTCAAGCGTGCGACCCTGTAACGGGAATACCCATTCCCTGCGATTGCTCCTACAATCCGACCCCTCTCCGTGTCTACCGGTGAGAATGCCCGATCTTGATTTGTTGTCTTACCGTTTCCCCCTCGGTTTCTCGCGTTCTCGTTCCTGACTCCCTCCATCTCTGCTCTCCACCATCCGTCACATTTCCCCTCCCCATTCCCCCCCACATTTCCTTTCCCCTTTTTCCCAACCCCTTAATGTCCTTTCCCGTCATTCCTCCCTTTTTCCTGGTTTTCTTCTCGGCTCATCTCAGCTCATTCGTCACACCCCTAGTCAGTCCCCATCACTATCCTCCCCACCACACCCTACTCTTCTCCGCCCTCCCCTCTTCCGCCCTTCCTCGTCCCTCTTCCCGCTTTTCCGTCCGGGCATCCCCTTCTCTCCCCTTCTGTGATGTTCCCACTGCCCATGTATGGGTAGGACAGCAAAGGAAGTGATTGTGATAATTCTAGAGCAATACTTTGGACCAGGAGGGAAGGCCAGGGAAGCAGCAGGGGTAAATGCACGCAATCTGCCTGCTATTAAATTGACTCACACGCTCCCACTTCCCCCTTCCCACTCTCCTTCTCGCTCCCCTTCCGAACCCCCGTCTCCCCACCCCTCTTTGTGACGCTCTCTCTTCTCAAGCAGGGGTAGAACCGCAAAGGAGGTGAGTGTGATGATCCTAGAGCAGTACTTTGGACCCGGAGGGAAGAGCAGAGGAGCAGCAGAGCGGAAACGCAAGGAGGATGCAGGTGCACAAGCAGGGTCAGAGACAGCAGGAGCATCGGCAGCAGCATCAGTGACAACTGATGAAGGTGTTTCCGCTTCGATATTGTCACAAATGCCACCTGTCACTATGCTGAACCATGCAAATTACCTGGGAAGGGAACTACAGCGGGCAGAGGCAGCGTTGCTCAATGGTAGTGAGTACATTCAAGACTAGTACACTCTGCATGTACATTCTGCAGTGAGTAAATGGCCTGCCCCTGCAGTTTCATCTACAAAGTTTTCTGCTCCTTCCAGGACCTTTCCATAACAGTAGGCAGCCATTGATGATTCATTGGCTGACTTTGCGTACCTTGGTGTTGGTTCTTGAGACCTCATTGGGGGTCTCAACCTAGGATTGCAGTTGGGCCATTGCTAGTTAGGTAGCCTCCTGATGCTCAAATCCGTCTGTATCTTTTGTACACATATACATTGTAAATAAAGCGGTATCATAGTACCCTCCCACGGTACTGACCGGGGTTCGATTCCCCGGATGCGCAAGTATAGTCTTTCCTTGCTTTTGCATCCCTTTTCACATGGGTTCACCCCATCGCTACCATCTCCGTGACCCTGCAGACCACAGGAACCAGGGATTTACAGTTTCAGAGAGAGCTTCTTGAGCCTCACCAGGTCTTCCATATGATATGAACCATGCGAGGGCAACATGTTCACCTCGGCTTTTCCTTTACATTATGTTTTTTTTTTTTTTTTTTTTGCTTTATGAGTTATACACCGATACAAAAGCGTACAACACATAAACAGTCGTAACTGTGCGTGAGAAGCAGGAGACCTGCCTCAGAGAATCCGATCCTTACACGTGGATCCGGGGCCTGTGTGGCTTGCCCCAAATTGCTGCAAACTTGTTCGACCAACGCCAGCTTTTGCCCTCCACAACTCTGATGCGGTTCAGAAGGCGCTGCTCCTGATTCGTCATCACGTGCCATCTGGCTTGCTGCACCTTCCCCTTCTGCTGCAACTTCCTTGCCGAGGCACGCACGTAGATGTTCACATGCATGCGCAAAGCTGTTTCAATCCTCCGCAGCACCCGCCTCGTGCGGAATTTACAACCACGAAAAGCTCCTTCACACCTCTCCACCCACAGCTGATGCAGAGCGATAGAGATCAGGGTCGCCTCAGGGAACGCTGACGTGGAGTCCGCCTTCCCGAACAACCAGTCCCCCAGCGACTCCGCCCGCCTGGCAGGGTTAATCATGCGCAGGGCCTTCTTTACCGCTGCAGCCACCGCTCGGATCTTTGGGCACTCAAAAAAGCAGTGCTCCAGCGTTTCAAAATTGCCACAGAAAGGGCACATCGGCCTGCTACTGAGAAAAGGAAGTCTCTCCCCTACTTGCAGGTTCAGACTGTGTATCCTTAACAAAACATCCCTTGGCCTGCTGGGGGTGACCAGCGATTCCCGAGTTTTTACTGCCCGCTTCCAGTCTATGCGCCCGCTCCATCTGTTCTCCCACTTGTTCCGCCTGGACTGCCTGCTGCTACCATGCCCCCAGCGGGACCTGAGTGTTCTCAGTGGGGCTACCTCCCCCTTCACCAGGAGTTGTGCGCGAAGTTGCTTTGACCCTACTCTTCCTGCCTCATACAACTCCGCAAAGCCCAACTGTGGTATCTCGGCTGAGAGAAGCATCCCCCTCCAAGCTTCTGGTGCTGCTGCAAAAGCCTCTAGCGCTAGCTTCGCAGCCTCCATCCCCAGCAGCTCTCTCTCCAGAGTATCAAGATCTTTTAGCACGCTTCTCCCCTCCTCGTCTTTCAGGATCAGATCCCCTAGTCTGACTTCCCGCAGTTGTTTCGCCGCCTTCTATCCCCCGAATCGTGTGGAACCTTTCCTGAGAATGTGTCTGTTGAACACTATTCTCTCCAGCGCCACCTCCTCCTTGCTACGCTCAACTCCGGTCACCGCCAAAGGGGAGCGCATGAAATTTTCGCACGCCAGTTTCCACCGCTGGCTCTTTCCCTCCCATGATTTCAAAAGTTTTTCATGTGACAGAAACGTGTCAAGCCCTAGTGGCAGGTCCGCTGCCTGACGCAGCAGGTTCCGCTTTAACTGGCTGGGTTCAGTGAGTATCGACCCGATCCTCCTGGCCGTGAAGCAGGTAAGCACAGCTTCCGGGTCCTTTGCACCCACGCCCCCTTCCAACACCGGTGTGTAGAGCAGCTCCTTACTCCATAGGAAGAAGCACTTCTCTGTCGTGACCTTGTTGGCTGACATAAAAGTATGTGACAGCTTCGTTATAACCCCCCAGGTCCGAGCAGGCGGCGGGTACACCTGAGCTTGAGACCAGGCAATCGGCATGATATACCCATCCATCACTGCTCTCCTCGCTTTGATCGGCAGGTATTGCGGCTGCCACAGCGACAGCTTCCCCACAATCCGCTCCAGGGCCTTATCCCACGTCGGCTGACAGCTTCCACTCGGTGTAATCCAGATACCAAGGAGCTTCTCCGCCTCATCTGCACCAGCCCATCTGAAGCCATCCGTGCGCCAAGTTGTTTTGCCAAGATTAACCCCCAGCGGGAGTACCACCGATTTGTCTATATTTGTCGCCAACCCTGAAATGTTTTTGAACTCCTCCAGTATTTCCTCCGCCTTGACAATCTGCTGTTTCCCCTGAAGCAGGAAGGTGGTGTCGTCAGCGTATCCAACATAAGCTAATCGCTGCTCCGCACAGCTTCTGAGGGTGATTCCCAGCTTCCTCTTTTCCACCAACTGTACTAGTGGTTCCACCGCACATAGGAACAGGTAAGGAGCGATGGGACACCCCTGCCGGACTCCAGATACCACGTCCACTGCTTCTCCCAGCCATCCGTTAACTAACAGACTTGTGCGCGTGTTGTCATGCAGCCCTTTCACCCAGCCAACAAACCGCTGCGGGAAACCCATCTTCCTGAGGACCTCGAAGGTGAAGTCCCGCGACATCGAGTCAAATGCTTTTTTAAAATCAACGAGCAGCATGTACCAGTCCTCCATACCATTCTTGGCCGCGTCAATGACATCTGCCACCAGCCCGACTGCATCAGATACCCGTCTCCCCGGTATGAATCCAAATTGCTCCTGCGAGATGACTTTATGAAGTACTTTTTTAATCCTGCTCGCCAATACCCGCGCCAACACCTTGTAACTGAAGTTCAACAAGGTGATCGGCCGATAATTCTCCAGCTGCTCCTTTGCTCCTTTCTTATGCAGGAGAATAGTTACAGCATCCTTGACACTGGTCGGGAGCGAAGCCGAAGCAGTGAAGCTCTCTACCAACGCCATGAGATGTTTCCCCAATACGTCCCAATGCTGCTCAAACAGCTCCTTCGGGAGCCCATCCTTCCCCGAAGATTTATTACCAGCCATCTCCTTAAGAGCCCGCTTCACTTCTGCTTCTGTCCAGTCCTCCTGCAAGCCCTCCGCATCTGAGAACCACAACCTCTTTCCCGCCGCTGGGACCCAATTTGAGATTGCCGTCCTCTTGTCCTCACCAAAGAGACCGCGGTAATAATCTGATGCTGCTTCAAGAATTTGCTTTGGCTTAGTTACCACTCCCCCAGGAACCGCCAGTTCAGCTATCTGCGTCTTGGCCCTCCGCACCTTAATCCTCGCCGATAGATGTGGAGAAGGAATCTCTCCAGCAAGCTCCGTGGCCATTCCCGCCATGAGATGAGTTCTCTCCCGCCGACATGCGTGGTATTCCTTTAGCTGCCGTTCCCCCTTCCTCAATCTCTCTCTTAGCAGCTGATCTTTGGGATTGCACATGAACGCTTGCTTCATCTCTGCGACGGATGATGTTAGGTGCCTGATTGTCGCTCTGATCCTTTTGCTCTCCTCCTTGGAGTAGGCACGGAGGCTAGCGTTCAGTCGAGATATTAGAACTTCAAACCCTCCCCCCTTTTGTGCAACTTGTCGCTCCACCTCTTCTGTTAGTTTTCGGACCCCTGGTCTATGCAGCATGGAAGGTTGCAGACGCCATAAGCCCGGGCCTATCTGCGTCTGAGACTTGACTTTGAAAGCGATGAGGATGGCGAAGCCGTGGTCAGATACCGGCTCGTCCGGCATGGTATGTGAAGTGGACACAAGGCGCGGGAGAAGTGAACGAGAGACCAGGGCTCGATCGATCCGCGTGCTCTCCTGATGCACCTGTGAATAGAAGGTAAACTCTCGTTTAAAAGGGTAAAGAGCGCGGAAAGCGTCGGCGATGTCAAAGGTATTGCAATCACTCGTCTGATGGCTTTATCCGCTGAGCCCTTTTTCTTTAAAGGGTAAGGAGAAGGTCATTCTCCTTTGCCGAGCCCTTTTTCGATGTCTTGTCCAGCACTGGATTTTCAACTATGTTTAAGTCTCCTACTATGAGCAGGTGAAAGTTCGGTGGAACAAGGTCAACCATCGGGCCAAGGACTGTTCTAATAAACACTCGTCTGATGGCTTTATCCGCTGGAAAGTAGGCTGCAATCAAGGTCAGAGTCAGGCTAGCGCAATGGATCTCAGTTTTTACTAATCTCCCAGATGGATGTGCTAACGGAATATGAAAGGAGAGATCTGGACGCCGGCTGAGGACTGCTACGCCACCAGCACGGGTAATCGGAGTGGCTGCTAAGAATGAAGAAAGCTTAAGGGTGGGCCACTATGGGTTATTGTCTGCTATCCTAGTGTCTGAGAGGATCATCACATCTGCTGCTTTATCACTATAGGACCAGTCTGTTGTACGTTTCTGCTTGGCGTTATCCCCCAGGCCGTTGACGTTCAGGCCCGCAAACGAAAGGATGTTCCGTGTATTCATTTAATCACTGCTTGATCGCCTCTACGCATCCACAGGCAGGTAAAGCAAAGCACAGCAACCACCGATAATCCGACCGCTACCGCCGCTGAGAACTGGGCCATTAACTCTAGAGATTGTACTCCTTGCGTATCACATGCAGGTTCACGTTCTCCATGGTCGCACGCGTGACAGCGCCTAGTTCCTCCTGACCGTGGAGGTGGCGAGCAGAGGTGATGTGCTTTGCAGCAGCAACAAAAAGTTTTCCCTAAGCCTTTTCGCAACACAGATGCGTGCAGATCCACTCTTCCCTGGCACTTCCAGTGGAGACAAGCACAATCGCAGGATCCAGAAGGATTGGACGTATCAGGCGTGATGCCGGCAGAGACGTAGCTGCGACAAGCGACCAGTGGGTTAGTACTAAGAAAAGATGAAAGGTACGAAGAGTCTGCTGGAAACTCCGCTTCTCCGTTACCGTTGATCCTATGCACCCGACTCAAAGTCAGGCTCCACTTCCCTATGTTACCCTGCCGCTCTGTGACGAAGACATCATGATGTTTATCATAATGCCACCCCCCACAGAGCTGACAGGAGAGCACAAGATAGTGAAGCAAGAGCTTCTTGCCATGCTCCAGGGGATGGCTGATCTGATGAATCCAGCGGCGCTTCTTCTCCTCAGGGTGCGGAATAACCAAGCCCTTAATCACATCTGTGTCTGCACCAGATACTGGGTGGAGCACTCGGTGGAAGCAGTGACCTTCGAGAAACGGAGAAACCTGTCGAATCTTCAGCTTATGTTTCACCAGCATCTCTTCCAGTCCTTCCGGAGTGATGTTTGCAGGAATCCCTTAAAAAACGACTTCAACGGCACGTGCATTGGACGCCTTCAGCCGTGTGAAGGCAACATTCTCGGCGTGCAGCCAGTGAAGCTTGTACGTCATGCTGCTGTTAGCACGCTGACAGTCCAAGGAAGCTTGACGAACATTTACTGCATCCTCTTCTTTCAGGAACGAGAGCTGAAGACGGCTGTACTTCGTTTTTGCGACATAAGCCGGGAACAGATACTGAAAACCCACGTGGGTGTTAGCTCCGTCAGAGAGTAGGGACGACCAAACACGCTTCAGCAACATTCGCACTGTCAAGATAACAGCCGCCATTTCCTGCTGCAGGATGAAAGGGAGCAGCAGAATAGCCGTGAAGCGCTGCTTGGCGACGAGGTCTTTCGTAACGTCAAATTCAAGCTCGTCGTCAGAGTCATCATCGGTGAAGTCATCCGCGTCAGCGTGAGCAGAGGTAAGCGCGGCGAGTTTCTCCTCCAGTGATAGGCCAGAGCTGCTTCCTTCAGTATGAATGGTCTCAGCAACCTCATCATCCACTTTCTCCTTCCCTTTGTCCGCAGGAGGCTGGGAATCCTCCGTAGCATTCTGCTTCTTCATCAGAGGCGCTCTCCCTTTCGGTGGAGCACGCGGCATGGTGCAATGATGAACGTTATCCAGCAGAGAATGACAAGAAGTCGGGAATGCCTGACTTGCTGGTAGACTGAGCACCTTCTTTAATAATAGCCGCGTGTCTCCAGTTGCAACTCTGTGCTCTTGATGCATATGCTGAGTTCCAGCTGATGAAACCAGTGGATGTGATCGGTAAACTTTGAAGTTATATTGAAATGTGTATGACCAATCCTGGACCTGCGGGTTAGATTCCAGATAATACCAATGGATAGGCCTCCAAGGGACGACAGGTGTTGCCTTTAGGCTGATGAAACCTTGGAACCATTGCAGCAGATCCCGAGAAGCAATAGTTACGATGTCCGCCTGATGGACATAATAAGTGTACCATTCGCTTCGTCGCGATAACGCGAGTCCAATGCTGTGATTCGTAGGATCAGCTGACACGTAGGCTTCACAGAATGTCGAGTTGAACAGCCTGGAGAAATCCATGGCGGCGAGCTCGGTTGGGTTATTTAGGACGGACACGATGCAAGCAAGCTATGCGATCAGAACGGTGAAGATAAGAGAGCTGCTTTTTTTTACATGATGTGATTCGGCCACTATGTGACTCTCATTCCTGTAAGATAGACCCCTTTTTGTATTGTACTAGTAGCGAACCAGAGATATATTTGCTGGAAAGGCAACACCGAATACAGAACAGCAGGTCATAAGAAATTCCCCGCAGCCCTTTACTGGCAGTCCCTTCATACACGCATCAAAATCAACCTCCATGCCACTACACTTATTGACTCACAACACAGATTGCTAAACCTCCGTTGCACGCCATCCTTCACATTACGCCAAACGCTTATATTTGGAGGGCTCAGCCAAGAACTGAACCATGTGATGTAAGCCACGAACCGAACCAAACCCATCCAAACAGTTTTCGCGCATGGCCTTTGGTTATGACCTCTTGAATGTCTCATACTGCTTGGGATTTGGAACGTCCAACGCAATTCCGATCTTGTAGTTTGGGCAGTATTTGACCTTGGGAGACATTTCTACTGGCGATTTGGGAGGCTCTCCTGGGCACTGTAGCAGGTGAAGTGGTGGTGATGGGACGAATGTAGTGGAATTTTGAGCACGAATGTGGTGGTGATGGGACAAGTTGCACACATCAAATTGGGGAAGATGGGAGGGAGGGGAGAGGAGTGGGGGGGAAAAACAGGAAGGGGAGTAAAGAAATGAGTGGGGATATTCACGGGGAAAAGAGTGCGGATGGGAACAGAAGATGCTGCATTGCCTATAAGGGGGTGCAATACAAGAGTAGGTGTTGTACCCATTTCAGTGACAATACACCCGCGCACCTGGATCTGCCGCTACTGCAGCTCCAGCAAGGAGAGGTAGCAGGGCTCTTGCGTGGTGACCTCACACTCGTTCCCCTCATTCCCTTCCCACTCCTGTGCGGTAACCTGACACTAACATGTGGGCGAAACCACGCACCTGGATCTGCCGTTGCTGCGGTTCCAGCATGGAGAGGTAGCAGGGCTCTGGCGTGGTGACCTCACACGCGGGCCGCCCGTTGACATCCCAGTCGGCGCCCATGCGACGAACGATGTTGAGGGAGAAGGGGCTCACTCCTGCCAGCCCCGCCGCCATGTAGCCAAAGGTGGAGCTGTCACTCACCAGCAGCAGGTCACTGGGGGGGGGGGGAGAGGGGAGAGGGTGGGGAGAGGGTGAGGGGAGGGTGGGGCATGAGGAAGGGTGAGAATGGTATCAACACAACGAGCGTTCAACACATCAATGAGCACTCAGCACAGCGTGTTCCAATTGTCTCTCTACTCTGTACGCTTGCCCTGAGATGAGCCTTACAAAGAACTAAGGGAGTGTTGTGTTTACAGAAAAACCTTGGCCTCTCTCTCACCACATGGCCAGTGTTGCGGGGAAGTGAAAAGCAGGAACTTAGAGTGCTCACCCACTCACCACATGGACAGCAGCCACATCTCTTTCAGAGCCAGCTCCAGCTGTCTCTCCTCGGCATACGTCTGTCCTGACTCGTGGCTCAGACTGCTCACCGCCACATCGTGCCCCTCACATACGACTGACAGTGGATGGTAGATGAGTGGGAGTAGCTACAGCAACACCAAAGCCACCCACTCACCACATGGACAGCAGCCACATCTCTTTCAGAGCCAGCTCCAGTTGTCTCTCCTCGCCATACGTCTGCCCCGACTCGTGGCTCAGACTGGTAACCGCCACATCGTGGCCCCCCAGTGGCACCCCCTCCACATACGCATCCCGGATGGCGTCCTGGTAGGACCGTTTCAGTGATGCCACTAACACGCCTATGCTGCGCGGACTGCTGCTGCTGTCATAAGCCTTGTCTCGTGCTTGATCCAGCCACTGCTGCTCCACTGCAGTCGGGGCGACCTGAATAGCAGAGAGAGGTTGGGAGGTAAGGAGTGAGGGAGCGTTTCAGTGATGCCACTAACACGCCTATGCTGTGAGGACTGCTGCTGCTCTCGTTTGCCTTGTCTCGTGGTTGATCCAGCCGCTGCTGTTCCATTGCAGTCGGTGGGACCTGAGGAGCAACGACGGAGAGGGGAGGTGGGAGGCGGGAGGGAGGGAGAAAGGGAAAAGGGGAAGGAGAGAGGGAGGGAGGGAGGGAGGGAGGGGTTGCGAAGTGGGAGGGTTGTTCTTGAGACACCGCAACACAGTCTCGGATGGTGTCTTGGCAGGTGCATGACCCATCAGGGGAAGCAGCGCCTCAGCAATGTTCAAACAGCACGCTGCTTCTAAACAGTCCCGGATGGCGTCTTGGCAGGTGATATTCTACAAAAGCCTCAGGTCCAAGCCACGTGTAGAAAGTGATTTTTTGAGACGTCTCAAAAACAAACTGCTTCTACACAGTCCCGGATGGTGCCTTGGAAGTGTCCAGTCAGGGTGATATTCTACAAAACCCTCAATCCGAGCTGCTTCCCTCACCTCTTCGTTCATTCTGCTCTTCCACCGTACATGCTCCATCAGAGGAGGCAGCACCCTTGTTATGGTCACATCACAGCACACTGCATCATTCTTCACCCTCACATGCTCTTCGTGCAAGCCCCCTTCTCTCACCTCTTCGTTCATAATGCTCTTCCACCGTGCGTGCTCCATCAGAGGAGGCAGCCCCTTTGATATATTCACAGCACACTGCATCGTGCGCTGGATCACTTGCGGCTCATCTGCTGTTTCTGTGGTGAAATCCCGGATCTGAGGATGACGGGGGAGAGGGGAGGGGAGGGGGGAAGAGGAGAGGGGAAGGAGAGGCAGAGAGAGAGAAAAAAACTGCTTGATACTGAAAAACCATCAGCATTGTGCGTTGAATCACTTGTGGCTCATCTTCAGTTTCTGTGGTGAAGTCCCGGATCTGAGGATGGGGGAGGAGGAGGAGGGGGGGCGTGAGGAGAGAGAGAAAGGTGGGGAAGAGAGGAACGATGAATTGCTTGAGACTCAAGGACTCTCGGCTTAGAGCGTTGAATCGCATGCATCGCATCTCATCTGCAGTTTCCGTGGTGAACTCCCGGATTTGCGGTTGTTTGGAGGGGAGGAAGGAAAGTGGGTATGGGAAAAGAAGTGACTTTTGAGTCGACTCAAAATTCCACTCTTTGAGATCCCGATCTCTAATTGCAGGGGAGGAAGGAAGGAAGGTGGGTGGGTGGGTATGGGAAATGTGTACCACTTTTGAGCCGACTAAAATTCATAAGCAGTACAATCTGTGGTTGCTAGGTGGATACGTGAAATGGGTATGTGGAGAAAGGTGACTCAAAAAGTGGTGCTAGATAGTAGATACCAAACCTAGAGTACCAGAATGTTTCTGACAGTTCCCGTTCTACACGGACCTGGATGCCAAACCTACGTTGGTACGAAACTAGGTACCGAACCTCAGATGGCACGGACCTGGATGCCGACCCTGTGCTGGTACGGGGCGAGGTAGGCTCGGAAGGCGCGGGTGATTTCCTCCCAGAGGTAGTTGGCGGGGTGCAGCAGGTAGCGTCCCACGTGCATCAAAGGCAGGCGGTCGGGCACCAGCCGCTCCAACTCAGCCTGGGGAAAGAGGAAGCATAGAGGGAAACACATAGTTCGTAACACAGCACTCTTGCAGCAGGTAGCGCCCCACGTGCATCAGCGCCAGGCGGTCGGGCACGAGCCGCTCCAACTCGGCCTGGGGAAAGGAGAGCAGCAGAGAGGGGGGAGTACAATAGGAGAAAGAGGATCGTACAGGTCATTCACGTGCATCAGCGCCAGGCAGTCGGGCACCAGCCGCTCCAACTCGGCCTGGGGCACATGCGGCGGAGGAGAGGGGGGATCAAAGGAGATAGGGGGGTCATATAGCTTAACCACGTGCATCAGCGGCAGGCAGTCGGGCACCAGCCGCTCCAGGTCAGCCTGATAGACAGGGAGGACAGACCACAGGGGGGTATGAAAGAGAAGGGAGGGGGGATGAGAGCAGGACACGACCCATGCAGCAGGTAGCGCCCCACGTGCATCAGCGCCAGGCGGACCGGAAATAGCCGCTCCAGGTCAGCCTGTTAGACAGAGAAACGGGAGGGGGATATGAGAAGGGGAGGTGAGAGCAGACAGCACCCATGCAGCAGGTAGCGCCCCACGTGCATCAGCGCCAGGAAGTCGGGAATAGGCTTATCCAAGTGTGCTTACATCGAATCTTGGCTAATGGTGTGTGAGTGAGAGCATGAGAGTGTGCTTACACGCAACTGTGCTTACACGCAACTGTGCTTACATCCAAGTGTGCTTACATCCGAGTGTGCTTACATCCGAGTGTGCTTACATCGAATTCAGGAACGAGGTAGAGGGCTGGCAGGATGTACTCCTCTGTATCGAGCCCCAGGAAACGGATGGCCGAGATCTGCTTCTGCACCTTGGGGCAGTAAAACGCGAGATCTGAGACGTTGGCTCTGCAAAATTGGAGAAGGAGAGTGTGTGTGTGTGTGAGGAGGGTAAAAATTAGCTGATGGGAGAGGAAGAGAAATCTAAGAATGTTGTGAGTGTGAGGAGAAGGAAAGGGGAGGAGAAGGGTCAGGTTGTAAGCTTGCTTCTCTCCTGAACTCCAAAACACTCTCACCCACCCACACCTTACGTCACCTGCGACTAAGATCACTGTAAGCGGCAGTGGGGAGCGTCTGCTCCTCTCACCACTTATTATCCCCCACTCTCACCCACTTACCCACCCTCACCCACCCTCACCCACCCTCACCCATCCCCACCCACCCTCACCCATCCCCACCACCCTCACCCATCCCCACCCACCCTCTCCCACGCCCCGCCTGCAGCTGAGATTGCTGAAAGCGGAAGTGGGGTGTCTCTGCCCCTCATCGCCCACAGTTACCCACCCTCAACCACCCTCACCCACCCACCATCACCCACCATCACCCACCCTCACCCACCCCACCCACCCTCACCCACAACTACCCACCTCACCCACCCTCACCCACTCCCACCTGCAGCTGAGGTCGCTGAAAGCAGCATTGGGGTGCCTCTGCCCCTCATCTCCCCCAGAATCACCCACCATTCACTCACAACTACCCATCCTCACCCACAATCACCCCACCTCACCCACCCACGCCCCACCTGCAGCTGAGATCGCTGAAGGCGGCAGTGGTTTGCCTCTGCTCCTCATCGCCCCCTGTCACCCACCATTCCCTCACAACCACCCACTCTCACCTACTATCACCCCATCTCACCCACCCACGCCCCACCTGCAGCTGAGGTCGCTGAAGGCAGCATTGGGGTGCCTCTGCTCCTCGTCACCCCCCCTCGCCCCATCATCCATCCCCACCATGCGCCCCACCATGTGATTCCTCGCCACTGCTGCCATCAGACTGGCGTGGAGGGGTGGGGAGGGGTGGGAAAAGATTGGGTGGGGGACATTTGGGAAGGTTGAGGGGGAAAATGAGATTTCACCTTATGATGAACACTCCTCTCGCCCCATCGTCCATCCCCACCATGCGCCCCACCATGTGATTCCTCGCCACTGCTGCCATCAGACTGGCGGGGGAGGGGGAGTTGGGGGGCATGGGGGGCGGAATGGTGGCGGAACGAGGGGTAGAGAAGAGGGAAAGAGTGAGACTTGCATTTTATTATGACTCCCCCTCTCGCCCCATCGTCCATCCTCCCCCATGCGCCCCACCATGTGATTCCGCGCCACTGCTGCCATCAGACTGGCGAGGAGGGGATGAGAGGTAGAACGAGCGAGAGGGAGAAAGAACGAGAGGGAGAGGGAAAGAGTTGAAAGAGGGGGGACGAGAGGAGCGCACTCAGCTTTGACATCCCCCCCGTCGTCCATCCCCACCATGCGCCCCACCATGTGATTCCGCGCCACTGCTGCCATCAGACTGGCGGGGAGGTGGGGGTGGGGAGGGGTGGGAAGAGGTGGGGAGGAGCGTGGAGGAATGGGAGGTGGTAGAGTGAAAGAGTGGGACTCAAACTCACGAATAAGGCCCCCCTCGCCCCGTCGTCCATCCCCACCATGCGCCCCACCATGTGATTCCGCGCCACTGCTGCCATCAGACTGGGGGGGGGGAACGGGAGGGAGAGGGAAAGAGTTGGGGAAGAGGGGAAGAGTTGGGGGTCAGTGGATCGCCCGTGAGCTTTGCCTCACTCTTCTCGCCCCCTCGTCCACTCCCATCCCATGCGCCCCACCATGTGATTCCGCGCCACTGCTGCCATCAGACTGGCGGGGGGGAACGGGAGGGAGAGGGAAAGAGTTGGTGAAGAGGGGAAGAGTTGGGGGTCAGTGGATCGCCCGTGAGCTTTGCCTCACTCTTCTCGCCCCATCGTCCACTCCCATCCCATGCGCCCCACCATGTGATTCCGCGCCACTGCTGCCATCAGACTGGCAGGGGGGAACGGGAGGGAGAGGGGAAGAGTTGGGGAAGAGGGGAAGAGTTGGGGGTCAGTGGATCGCCCGTGAGCTTTGCCTCACTCTTCTCGCCCCATCGTCCACTCCCATCCCATGCGCCCCACCATGTGATTCCGCGCCACTGCTGCCATCAGACTGGCGAGGAGGGGCGGGGAGGGGTGGGGAGAATGGGGTGGAAAATGGGTGGGGAATGGGAGGTGGTAGTGGTAATAATGGGAGTGCGGGAGGGGGTTGCGGAGGAGACGAGGCGGGCGGAGAAGGCTACAGGGCTAAGCAACAGCCTGATGCTCTTACTACAAAACAAGGCACTCACTCAAAGTCTTCAGAGGAGAGGGAGGGCGGGCGCCAGGTGGAGTAGGAGAAGGGGTTGCGGAGGAGACGGGCCGGGAACGCAGCAGCAGCACTGAGCAGCAGCAGTACCCGTTTTAAGACTTGCTCGCTCACTCCCAACTCACTCACAGGCCGAGTCCTCTTTTTCCAGCTCAAGGCACTCACTCAAAGTCTTCAGAGGAGAGGGAGGGCGGGCGCCAGGAGGAGGAGTGGGGAAAGGGGTTGCAGAGGAGACGCACGCGGAGGACAACGCTGCACGGCTGAGCAGCAACCGACTCAAAACCCTGCTCGTTTACCCACTCACCACTCACCTGGTGGTGCTCTTGCCACAAAACAAGGCACTCACTCGGGGGTCCCTTGCACTCACTCGAAGTCTTCAGAGGATAGCGAGGATGGTCGCCAGGAGGAGTGGGGAAAGGGGTTGCAGAGGAGACGCGCGTTGAACGCAGCAGGGCTGATGAGCAACGTGCGGTCGGTGAGAAGGGCGTATATGAAGGCAGAGACGAGGGAGAGGAGTTGATTTCCCAGGCCTGGGGGGAGAGGCAGGGAAGGGAGAGGGAAGGGGAAGGAGGAGATGGAATGGCAGGGCTGATGAGCAGCGTGCGGTCCGTGAGAAGGGCGTATACAAAGGCAGAGACGGGGGAGAGGAGTTGATTTCCCAGGCCTAGTGGGAGAAAGGGAAGGGAAGGGAGACGGAAGGGGAAGGGGTGAGAAGGCTGCAGGGCTGAGCAGCAGCGTGCGGTCCGTGAGAAGGGCGTATACGAAGGCAGAGACGAGGGAAAGAAGTTGATTTCCCAGACCTGACCAAGGAGAAGTGGGGGGATGGGGGGAGGTAGTGGGGGGCAGAGCGTGCGGTTGGTGAGAAGGGCGTAGACGAATGCAGAGACAAGCTGCTCCTGGATTCATTCAACCCACGGCTCATTCACATCAATCACGCACTCTTAAGGCACCTTAAAAGACGGCTCACAACAAACGCGCACACTCTCACTCACCGTTAAACGTGGGCTCCTGCCACGGCAGGTATTTGCTGTCTGCTACAGCGTCCGCTGATGCGCTGCTGCTGCTGCTGCTGCTGCTGAGGCCTAGAGTGCTGAGAGGACACACACAAGTTGGACTCTCACTCACCGTTGAACGTGGGTTCGAGCCACAGCAGGTACTTGCAGTCCGCTACAGCGTCACCTGACGCGCTGCTGTTGCTGAGTGCCTGGGAACTGAGAGAGGGACACAAGTTATGCCATGCCTCACTCACCGTTGAACGTGGGCTCGAGCCACAGCAGGTACTTGCAGTCCACGGCTGACGCGGCCGCATCGGCTGACGCGCTGCTGCTGAGGCCCAGAGCGCTGAGAGGACACACACAAGTTGGACTCTCACTCACCGTTGAACGTGGGCTCGAGCCACAGCAGGTACTTGCAGTCCGCGGCCGCATCGGCTGCCCCGCTGCTGCTGCTGAGCCCCTGCGCGCTGCGATTGGGACACAAGGAGAGCAGGAGGATATTGCGAGAGGTAAGCAGGAGAAGAAGAGTGTCTGGGTGCTGCTCGATGCAACAGAACCTAGTTTTGAGTCGACTCAAAAAAGAGAGGTAAGCAGGGGAAGAAGAGTTCCCGGGTGCTGCTCGATGCAACAGAACCTAGTTTTGAGTCGACTCAAAAAAGAGAGGTAAGCAGGAGAAGAAGAGTGTCTGGGTGCTGCTCGATGTAACAGGACCCCCACAGGAAGGATGTGAGAGGATGGAATGTGGGGAGAAAGGTGGAATGTAGGGTGGAGTGTGGTCATCTCGAGAAATTTGGAGGGGAAAAGGTGGGAGGGCGGGAGGATATTGCGAGAGGTAAGCAGGAGAAGAAGAGTGTCTGGGTGCTGCTCGATGCAACAGAACCCCCACAGGAAGGATGTGCGAGGATGGAATGTGGGGAAAAACGTGGAATGTAGGGTGGGAGGAAGGAACCGCCCTGGGATGCGGCGCGGACTCACGGGTCGTTAAAGAAGGCCGGCCAATCGGCGACGGCAGCGGTGCAGGCGGCGTGCGTCTTAGTGTAGCGCTGGATGCGCTCGAACAGCGCGTCGGACATACGCGTCGCCGTGCTGTACGGCTGCACGCATAGAATCACAATTCCAAACCGAAATCGCGGTTAGCGAGTGAGCAATTAGCGACATGAGGGTCACCATGCCGTAGGGCTGCACGACAGAATCACAATAACGAAGCGGAGTCCGATTCGACTGAGTCGACTCAATAGCGACAGATGGCGCTACGTTCGGGAAATCGGAGAATCACTCGAGATGCGTAGGGAGACCGAAAGGGAAGTGAGCTCCGGGAGGCAAACACGTCGGCAAGGCCGGAAGTCCGACACGTCGGAAGCAACGAACCGATTGGTACTAGCGTCGCTCTGACACGCTCCAGCAGAGCGACGAGCTTTTGGGGTGCCTCACATGCGGTTTTCTTGTTTTCCCGCAACCGAGATTTCTTATACGTGCGTTTCTGCGACTCACTGATTGGTAGTAGCGTCGCTCTGACACGCTCCAGCAGAGCGACGAGGAGAACGATTCTTCCTCCATGTTCGCGTAACTCCCGGAGCCGCCGTCACCACCGCCGGCGCCGCCGCTTGGGAGGTGGTGATGGTGCAGAGCGCGAATGGCGGCGTCAGCCTCGTAGAGCTGCCGGCGACGTTGACTGAGATCGTGACGGTCGTCAGTAACCTGACTGCCGTCAACTCGGCCTTCAACCCGACGATCATCGGCTAGGTCGTTAACCCGTAGTTGACGGCGATCTTGATCGAGATCGTAGTAACGGTCACTAATTCGACTGTCCGCGTCGCGGTAAGTGGCAGTATTACCCTCGTCGACGAGTTGTCGGCGGTGAAACTGCCGGTCTAATCTATTATGACCGGCGATGTGATCATTCTGGTGGCTTCTTGCATGCGAACGTGTGCTTGTAACGGGGTGAACGGAGATACACGCGATCAGCAGGAGTGTCAGAAAGAATCGCCATGAGCTTCGAACGGATGGATAGGAAAGACTGCCTGGGTGCGTCATGTTGTATCAAATGAACGAGCCTACAATCCCAGTCTTATAGTTGTGCGGCCTTGGCTTTCTCCTTCCTACTGCCGTTTAGGACGAGACAAGGTACGGTTGGAGGTTATTAGACCAATGAGCAAAAGCTAAGCGACGTTTCGTCGGACGAGAAACGCGGAGCTTTCTTGTAAGGTTACGTGGTTTGACTGAGAGTGTTATTGACGCCAGCGGGGCGTCGCGAATCGCGATGCTAGCCTGAACAACTTGTATCGACCCAACACCAAGGCTTAGCCTAGAGTGGTACGAGCGTGTGCTGGTCTTGAAAATGGGCTTTCTCTAGATTCTCAGAACGAATTCCGTCTGAATTCGCTGTTGATTTGCCTGCTGCTGACGGGAGGATGGAATGGCCCGGTTAGCTCAGTCTCGGTTTTATTAATTTGGTCGGTTTTGCTCGGTTCTGCTTGATATGCTCTGTTTTCCTTGGTTTGCATGAATTGCTGGGCTTGGTTGTGGTGGTGTGATTTGCTGGGTGGGTGCGGGGGAGAGGGGGAGAGGGGGGGTGCAGGGAGAAAAGAGGGGAGTGGGGGCTGCATGGGAGATTTGGGTGGGGAGAGGGGGGGAGCGGTAGGGGCAGGGATTGATGATGATTGGTTCCAGCCCAAGCGCTGAGGTTCTCCGAGGGGGGAAAACTGACGGCGGCACCTGCCGGCTGACGTTGAACTGAACTGTCAAAGAATCCGATGCGACGTGGGGGGGGAGGACCCTTGGAGTTGCATTGCGTTGCGGTCCTGCAAAGCTGCACAGGAGGCGAGGCGAGCTGAAATGCAATTCAGCAAGCTCTTCGAAGTTGGAGAATGATCGAGTCGCATGGACTGACCACGAGTCTGACGAAAATGCAATAACGAAATGCGCTTCGAGACGGGATGTACTCGGTTTAGCGGAATTGGCTTAGACTGAGTGTCCAAAGCAAATGCATGGCTACGCAGTTGCCACATTCACGTTTCATTCTCTGCCTACACCATTCAACTACCAGTAGGTGCTTTATGTTAGTGCATGCGGTGTACATGTACCTTGTGGATTTCGATTCACCATACCAAGCACACATCTGATACACATGGTAAATTTATAGCCCGTAGCCCAAGTTGTTCATGATTTAAAAAGTTGACTGGGAGGCAGTACAGTTTTTGGGCTGTGGCGAGAGTCTATCTCGTAAATTTCGTTTTTTCCGCCACTCACAGCCAATTCTCGAGTTTCTTCCTGGTGGGTGCTCGATTGTCCCAAATTGCAAGTGCAGTTTTTTCAAGTTTGGACAACCCTCTGCATCAAGTTTTAAAAACTGGACCCGCGCGCCTTGCAACTTGGAACTCGGGCTTTAATGCAAGGAAGTGCTACTCTCGAGCATACTCACCTAGGAGAGCTTGGATCTGCATTAGGCAATGCCGCAAGGGATTGCAACCACTATTTTGTTTAGGCAGCATTTCACTGGTTAGCAAAAATAAATTGTAACACTCATCATGAGCACAAATTTCAATGTAACATAACATTTGCAGGGTTTAGAGATCTCCGAGGTTTGGCAAACCCATTTCGAATGTTCAATGATGAACCCATAAGGTTGGCGAAAAGCTGAAACCTGGCTAGTAATTTTCCAGCATTTGGCCCTCACCAGAGCAAATTACTGGTAATCTCATTTACTGGCGAAAAGGTAAGCTCATTGACAATCCAAAATTCCCACTAGCATCTTTATTTCACCCGAAGGTCACCAAGGTACTGGAAACTAACCCAAGAATTACTTCTAGCAAACAGCCCCACAGCTACTTCTCATCCCACACAAACAGTCATGCAAGGATCATGAGCGCAATCGCAAGAAGAGCCCCAGCAAGCGTGGGACGCGCAACCCCCGACGCCTTGGGAACGGGCGGAGACGGCGGGAGCGTGAAAATCGGCTTGGGATACTGGGTATCATTCATGCACTGCGTGGTGTTGATCGGACGGTTAAGGAGGTCAGTGTACTTGGTGAGATCGACGGTCCCGATGGGGCAATTGTTCTCAGGGTCCAGGGCGAACGGGTCGCAGCACAGCGTGGTCTTGGGCATCTGGGCCGCGGGAACGCCATTGAAGCAGGCTTTCTGGAGGAAGGGAGAACGGGTTGGAAAGGTGGGGGAGAGAGAGGGGTGACGTTGGTGCATATAATTGTAGGAGAAGCGAATGAAATTTGGAGAAAATTCGCGCAGAGCTGCTGGAGAACTCTGGGGGGGGGAACAGGGCAGGTAGAGCGAAGTAGTTGATCTGATAATTTTATATTTCAAGGCAGTGGATGCAGTAAAAATGAGAGTGGATGCAGTAAAAAGGGCAGTGAAATACTCGCATTCATGACTATCACATGCGAGCAGGAGCACACAGTGACTCACGCTATCCACGACCGCTTTGAACGCAATGATGCCGAACATTGCGCCGAAACCCGTCAGAGAGGCGCTGGCGAACGTGGTAGCGTCGGTGACGTTGTTCATGATTCCGACTGCATGCGGAGAGGAGAGAGAAAAAGTAGCCGGGAGGAGAGCCGAAGGGAATACAATTGGACTAGAGAAGAACGACAAGGTTAGGGGGGAAACATTTGGCGAACGGGTAGCGTCGGTGACGTTGTTCATAAATCCGACTGCATGCGATGATCCGAAATAGACCAGAGGAGAGCCGAGAGAATTATAATGGGACGAGAGAAGATAGACAAGGTTTGGAAGAGGGAAGAGCGGGATTGAGTAAGTGCGACGTAATTACACGTTCCGAACCTGTGAGCGACAACGTGAAGGTGTTCGACAGACAATCACAAGTTTGCGAGACAACCACGCGCGCGACAATGCGCGAACATTCGGCGAACTAACGGCGAAGACTTACATCGCGAATCCTTGCAGGCTGCGTAAAGTTGGTCGGCAAACGCGGGGCAGATGGTGATTGTGGGGCCCTCATTGTACTTGATGACGTAGTTACCCATGTCTGTTGCCAAAGGGGGGTCGGAATGGGAGAAACACGCCATTGAAGCTTACTTAGGATCGTAGCCTAAAATCTCCTCCCCAAAAGAAAGGGTTTCAAGTCTCCGGAGGTTAACCCGATGATAAGTAGCACTAATCAACTGAGAAAAAAAAAACGAATGCAACCGACAACCGTCACTGTAACTGGCAGGTCGTTTTCACAAGCGTCAACACATTATTGTAACAGAAAGTGTTGTGTCACGATTATCTACGTCAGTGGTTACCAGGGTTGCATGTAGCGGCGCAGGCGACAGACTCTAGCAGCAGCTCGCACTGCTGGTAGCCGGAGAGAAGATTGCACGTCTGAAATGGAGGGAAGTGGGACAGAGGGAGAAGGAGAGAATGAATATTAGGGGCAAAACCCATCAAACCTTCGCCGCACACAACCAGGACCGACGTCAAGGCGAATTTTACTGTATGGGACACCCTTGCAACCGTCATCACTGGTTTCCTTCTCATTTCCAACATGAAGAAATATTAGAAATGTGAACAGATCGGATACGAGAACGCTGCGGCGTTGGAAGCAGATCGTGCAGCACGATCTTACCGGGGGGGGTCCGGAGGGGAAAATGCCGGTAGTGTTCCACAGGGCGGTGCCGGTGGACGCCGCCTCGGTCGCCTTAGATCCGTTCGACTTGATGAGACGCAGTCCGACCTCGTAGTCCCCGCACGGCATGCAGCAGCTCATCTTCGACGCCGCCAGGCATCGAACCATCGGTACCATCGGAACAGCGGGCGGCACGCCGCTAATCGGGCATGTTTTGTACGTCTGCGCGTGAGCCGCCAATGCTGCGCAAGCGACGATGAGGAGGAGAAGGGCCGAGCTGGTAACGCTGGTTCGCGCCATTGTGCAACAATTGAGGAGTGCGAGAGGCGACGCTGCTTTTATGGCGCGGGAGAAAGGCAGCGCCTTGTGGGGTTAGACACGCGTGGTGTGATGTGTAGAGTGATATTTGAATGTGCCGAGGGAGGAAACACTCGGACGAAGTGGTACTAAAGTGTTTTCACAAGGCAGACTTTCTCGTGTGTGAGGCTTTCACTGGCGCTGCATGTTGCATCAGGAAGATGGCGTCTGCTGCTGAATCGGCGCTGTTTCCTCAGCGTGCCCTGAGATTGATGACCAGGATCGCGTCGCATCTAGTGAATGGAAATTGAGAGGCGGCGTTAGATGCATTTCCGGCGCGAAAGGAGGGAGGATCCTATGATTCCTTGCATGATCTCGCGTCGCGGTATTGTGCCTTGGCTGCATTGTGACACGGTGGACGTTGATGCCAAATGGAACGCTGTTACTGGAGAGGGTTCGGGGTTTCAGGTGCCAGACGAATCACAAATGAACGAGCTGGATGGTCACAAGTCCGAGGGAAGCACAAAGATGCTTTGCGTTTTACGGAAGGCATATTCCGAGAATATATTCCTCTCCGAATGTGCAAAATACTAGTGTTCTTTACACGTCTTACCTGCAATACAAGCACCAAATATACTCCACATTATCATACAGCATTACCTTCCGTCCCCCTGACAATAACTATTTAATGAGTAACCAGAATACCTTCTTTCGTCAGTAAATTAAAATTGTAATGGGACTGAGATTATAATGCAGACAAATCCAGTTCACAGCATTCGCATTTGATTCTTGCATCAACTATTGTATGCAGAACTGTACTTCTCCAGGCTTGTGCTGGCGAATATTGGATTATTCTTTGAAGGATATCAGTCGCGAACCGCAGATTTGGGTGATTGTTACTCCTACCTGCGAGTCGCTGGAAGCTCATCTGACTTGGCACGAATACCTACAGGTGCTGACGTGTCCCCTAAAAATGTATGAACTGTCACTGTCATTCCACCTCATCCTCAAGCTGACCCTTTGATATCACCCACAGCCATCTGCCCAGCGCAGCACAGGTTAAAAATTCTCACCACAAAAATGGTAGTTGAGTGGATTTCTCAGACACGAAATTCAGCAAAACTACACAATTTTCCGCGACCCCACTGGTCAGCCTGCCCACGAATGCCAACTGAGGTGCCACGTCTGCGGAGCTCAAAAACCGCCTGCCAAGGAAGCATTTTCGCGCCGTGCGTAAGCAGCAGCAAAGCGGAGCAATCGTTCCGCCACACCAGCCCACTCCCACGGTTGGAGAGTGTGGTGGGGGCGGGACCGAGGGTGGGGGAGAGGGGTTGCAGCCGACACACTTCCGCTCGAGAGCCTTCATTCGATGTCCCTCCCGACCCGACTCCCCACTCCTTCCCGCCCGCCATACCTTCTCCCCCACAGCCCAGCCGAAACCAACCCCCCTTCCCTCCCCCCCACCCCACCTCCTCGCCTCCCCCCCCCCCCTCCTCCCCCCACGAGCGTGTATAAATAGGGCTGTGGAAATGGACTCTCTCCATTCCTTTTTTTCACTCCTGACTAGCTCGAAGTTATTTCCTGACAATAATTTTGTAAATTCCAGCTTTAGACCTATCCTAGCTGCGCCACACAGCGACCTTAGGCTCGAAAACTTCGCGACCGACAACTCGCATTCTTTTTAACTGTCGCCTTCGTTCGTCAATCATGTCGTCCCTCGCGTCGCATTTCGCACTGTCGGCCCAATCGCTTCCCGCCATTTCATCCGACTGCTTCCGCCCGAGGCAAGGCACGAGTAACGGCGCGCGCTGCCAATCATCCCCGCTCGCAGTCACCGTCGCACAGGCGCGCCCGCTCGCGCCGTCGCTCCCCCCACAGTCAATCTCCCGCTATAGTCATCCCCGCCGCTCGGACATCACGGCTCCGCCGCGCGTCATGGCGGCGTACGCGGAAAGCGCGGCGGACGGCACGCCGCGGTTGCCGAATTCGTTTCACGAGATCACGAGCGAGCAGGAGCTGGACTGGGTCCTTAAAGACGCCGCGGATTGCGGCGACCTCGTTCTTATTGATTGGTAAGCTTATGTAACCATCGTGCACGTGTACACACCTTGTCCACTCATAAGCTTTGAGCGAGCGAGCAGGAGCTTGACTGGGTCCTCAAGGACGCCGCGGATTGCGGCGACCTCGTTCTTGTTGTAGAGGACTCTCCTCTACTTTGCAGGAACTGGGAGTTGTTCTAAACGATAGAGCTCTGTCTTAGCTTTCCAACGAGCCGTCAAACACGTCGATCGCCTAAGTATTCTCCGAGATATAGGCGTTCACGTGCTAGGTGGTGCTCTTGAATGCAAGTAAAGAAGCTCTCTGGAATTTGTGTTCGAATGTACCTTGTACAAAGAACTCTGAGTTTCACTATGATGGCATGCAATACAAAGAAAACAGATTTATAGCATGCAAACAAGATCGAATCGCACAAGTAACCTCGAACCGCTACACTCGCGAATGTTCGAGTAACATCGAAAGGGTGAAATTCGACTCTCGAATTTCACCGATCCGAATTCTCCTTGGGTCTCGAATGTTCCTGGTGCTGCCATGTGGCACCGAATCGAATGGGTCTTCCGAAGTCAATCCTCAACCCCACGCAAACCTGCAACTCACTCGAAGGTGAGCACAAGTCACACATTCGGTGGGTTGGGGGCATACAAACGCCCCACCACCACCTTGCTTCCAACACACGTAATCTCCAACACTCCCCCTTGCACCCAACCCACTAGGTGTGCAAACCAACATGCTCATAGCATGCACGGGATGAATCTTTAGGGGGTGGTTCCATGAGAGATTTCGCGTGTTCATCATCACCCTTGGTTGCGAAGCAAAATACCGCGCCCTCCTTATCCGTCTCCCCAACGGCTACCGTAGCGTAGTCGTTGTACTTGGAGGGAGGACGAACCTCACGACGCTCGCGGGTCAAGGCCAATGGTAGGGAGGAAGGTGTGGAGGTAGTTGCCACCTCGGTTGGTGACACCTCCACGACATCATCAATGCTCTCCTCGTTGTTCGCTCCCCCTCCATCGGCTTCCTTCTCCACTTGAGGTGGAGTCTCACTCTCTTCAACCTCCTCTCGTGGCGGAAGGATGAAGGTGAATTGTTGAGTGGGTTTCTCCTTCGACGGGAACTTGTCTTCATCGAAGACCACGTCCCGAGACGTGACGACGCACTTGTCGCCCAAGTCCCACACTCGCCACGCACGCTCGTTCGCCGCAATTCCCAAGTAGATCGCCGCACGAGCCTTCGGTTGCAACTTGTGGCGAAGGGGATCCGGTACATGGTAGTAGCAAAGGCACCCAAAGGTGCGAAGGCGGGATAGGTTCGGCTTCGTTCCGGTCCATGCTTCGAACGGAGTCATTCCCGGGAGCACCTTCGTCGGCAAACGGTTGCGAATCCACGCCGCTAGCGAACTCGCCTCGCCCCACCACTCTTTCCCAAGCTTGGAGTGTTGAAGAAGAGAACGAACGGCTTCCACCAACGTGCGATTAAGCCGCTCCGTCGCTCCATTTTGTTGGGGTGTGTAGGGTGTTGTGACGTCGTGCTTAAAGCTCGGGTCTCAAATTTCCAAAGGTTTAACACCTGGTTGGGTTTGCCCGTCCGTGATTGGGTAACGAATGACGAAAGTTTTTACGAGCGGGTGAAAAGAACACAGCGAACTCCCCAACAATCAAGGCCAAAACAAACCTGGGTGGGCAGGTTTGGGTGTAAGACGAGCCTTGGGGGACAGGTTTGCGTCTGATTGAGAACTATGCGACCCACCCTGGCGACGCAATCACGTTTTGAGGTTGACAGAAGTGTGAAGTCAGAAAATGAGTGCCCACGCCAAGCAACCATACTCCCGTCGCTGAGCCGTAGTAACACCGAAATAGAAAGCCAGCTAAGCATTATTTCCCCCGTTTACGATTAGTATGAGAGCATCTTCCTTGATCGGGAATGAGAGACGGGATGGGCGGATTTAGAGTGGAAAACGCGGATTGAGATTAGGAAGGGCAGATTGCGACTACTACGGGCGGAATGAGAGTAGGGATGTGCGGAATGAGTTTAGGGTTTGCGTAATGCGATTTGGAACGTCGAAAACAGGTAGGAAGGGCGGTGTGAGATGAAGAAGGGCGGATTGAGAGGCAGAAGGGCGGAATGAGAGGATGAAGGGCGCGATGAGAGAACGAGGGGCGGAATGCGAGGAAGAACGGCGGATGGAGAGGAAAAAGGACGGAAAGAGAGGACGAAGGGCGGAATGAGGAAGAAGGGCGGAATAAGAGGAAGAAGTGCGGAATGAGAGGAAGAAAGGCGGAATGAGAGGAAGAAAGGCGGAATGAGAGGAAAAAGGGCGGTATGAGAGGAAGAAGGGCGGAATGAGAGGAACAAGGGCGGAACGAGATTAAGAAGGGAGGGATGACAGTAGGAAGGGCGGAATGAGAGTATGAAGAGCGGAATGAGATTGCGGATGGGCGAAATGCGAGTAGTTATGATGGAATGAGATTATGGAAGGGCGGAATGAGATCAGGGATGGGCGGAAGGAGATTAGGGGTGGGCGGAATAAGGCGCGGGTTGATGGGGAGGGGGAATGGAGGGGGAGAGCAGGTGCTGCCCGAGGAGGGCGAAGAGAGACGTCGTCCCTTTTGACAGGGAGGTGAGTGCATGGGGGAGGGGATGTACTAGTGGTGAGGGTGGTGGGGAGGAGGAGGGGCAGGGGCTGTGGCATGTGGTGCGGGCATGCGGGGTGGAGTCAGCAGAGGGGCTGAGTGGCGTGGTGGACAAGTGGGGCTGGACCGCCATGCATGTGGCTGCTCGGAATGGTGACTCCCCCGTGGTCAGTCTCACCTGCCTCCCCGCCTGCACCCATGCAGCACAGCCATGCACCAGCTCTCACCCATGCAGCACAGCCATGCACCAGCTCTCACCCATGCAGCACAGCCATGCACCAGCTCTCACCCATGCAGCACAGCCATGCACCAGCTCTCACCCATGCAGCACAGCCATGCACCAGCTCTCACCCATGCAGCACAGCCATGCACCAGCTCTCACCCATGCAGCACAGCCATGCAGCCCGCTCAACACTCTCTGAACCCACCGTCCATCACGCGTGTGCACTCATCCCTCCCCGTCCACGTGCCTGCACTCACATGCACCTTCAATAATGTCGCAGGCATGGACCGCACTCACCCTGCTGCCCGCTTCTCTCCCTCCCCGCCGTTCTCCCATGCATGTGCCTGCAGCTGCAGGCGCTGTTGCGCATGGGCATGCCAGCGGGGGTGTGCAGCACGCGCAACGCCACCACGCCACTGCACGTGGCGGCGTATGGCGGCCACGTGGACTGCATGTGCCTGCTGGCGGCTGTGCGTGCCTGGCGGCTGTGAGTGCCTTGCGGCTGTGAGTGCCATGATTGGTTCAATGCAAGAACGGTAGAAAGTGCTTCGCTCGTTTCTTTCTCCACCCAGCTTCTTAGCCCTCTTGCCTTCATGCGCTCTACCCTGCGGTGCCCTCTGCACCCCGCTTGAATTGCTCTGGCTCTGCATCTGCTTCCAGAGCCGCTTTCCTCCTCTTTGTATCCCTCCGCCTTCTCTCATCCACCATCCGCCCCCCGCTCTCTGCCCTCTGCCCTCCCCCAGGGACTCCATTACACAATGCAGTGACCAAGCAGCAGTGGGAGGCAGTGAGATGACTTGCACACCAGGGAATAGAGCCAGCAGAGGTAGAAGCAGCGGGGGCCAACCCCAAGGCGGTTCAGATAGTGTGGGAGGAGCATGCGCGGCGGGCAGGCCAAGGAGGGGAGAGGGGGCATGGGTTTTGGAAGGATGGTGGTGTGGGTGCGAGCTGAGTGGGTGAATTCCTTGTGCTTGATTATCACCATGATGTATGATTGCCTGCTGCCACTGCTTAGTGGCAGAACACAAGGAGGACAGGGTGCTGAGCAGTGGGAAGGGGCGGGAGGGGGGGGTTATAGAGCCGCTCCCAGGGCAGTGGGGAAGGTGAGAGGTGGGGATGAAGCAGGGTGGATGCTTCAGTAGCGCTTGTGGGCCACTCGCTGCTGCTCGCTGCCCGCCTCCTCGCCTCCACTTGATTACCCTCTGCCTTGATTCTGTGCTCTATTTCTGAGTGCTCATCTTGTCTCCCCTTTCCCCTCTCATCTCCACTCTACCCCATCCCTCTTCCTGCCCTCCTGTCCCCATCCTTCTCCCTCAGGAGAGCCGTACACCAACTGCACCGCTCTGAACCCATTTGTGCAGTGGAATCTGCAGCCGCTGCTACCAGCCACTCCCCCCTCCTTCACCCTCACCTCACCACCCCCACCCGCCTTCACGCCGCCATACGCCCTCTCGTCCATCTGCTTGTGGACGTCCCTCTCCGCCATCGCACCTGGTCGCACACAAGCAACAGCCCTCCTGCCACTGCCGCCACACACAAAGCCTGCTGATGCAGATGCTGGCAGTGGAGGCGAGAAGGCAGTGGGGGGCGCAGTTGGTTCGAGTCAGGGCGTGCAGGGGGAGTGGGCAGTGGCGGGGTATGAGGCGATGCGTGTGGTGCAGGTGGGGGGTGGGTGGCGCCAGGGCAGCTATGGCCTGCCCTCCTCCCTCGCTGCCTCTGCTGCACCTGCTGTGTCTGGAAGGCAAGGTGACTTGTCTGGAAACCTTTGTTGCACTTCTTTGTAGTGATCAACTGAATGGCTCAGTTCAGTATCCTAAACACTGAAGTGATTTTTATAAAGAAGCATCCAACATTGATACATGTCATGGGTACTTGTCAAACCGGTACTATTTAATAGCTAAAGCTTAACAAAATTCATGCGTGGCGGACCAGTTCTGACAAAATCCTGAGTGTCAAGGCTGAAGCAGCTGGAGAAGAGGGAGGCTGAAAAGGAGGGGAGGGAAAGGGGGAAATGAGGGGAAGGAGTGAGTAAATTGATGGGGAGCACAAGGGGAAATTATTTTATAGCAGAGGGGGTTCTGTATTGACCTGGTGCAGTAGGGGAATTGATGGGAAAGCAGAGCTGTAATTTATGGGGAGCGGAGGGGGGGATAACAGGGAGCAGAGGGGGGAATAAGAGGGAGCAGAGGGGGGAATGAGAGGGAGCAGAGGGGGGAATGAGAGGGAACAGGGGGGGGGGAATGACAGGGAGCAGAGGGGGGAATGAGAGGGAACAGGGGGGGGGGGATGATAGGGAGCAGAGGGGGGAATGAGAGGGAGCCTTGGGGGGAATGAGAGGGAGCGGAGGGGGGAATGAGAGGGAACAGGGGGGGGGGGGGGATGATAGGGAGCAGAGGGGGGAATGAGAGGGAGCAGAGGGGGGAATGAGAGGGAGCAGAGGGGGGAATGAGAGGGAGCAGGGGGGGGGGGGAATGACAGGGAGCAGAGGGGGGAATGAGAGGGAGCGGAGGGGGGATTGGGGGGAAATTAGGGGAATTTATCGCAAACTGGTATATCACCCTTCCTTCCCCCCTCTGTCCTCTCCTCCTTCCCCCCCGCAGAACATGATTGCATACAACACACAAGAAACAGGTGGTGGTACGGTGTAAAGCATGGACTAGCTTTAGCTGCGCCTCAGCTTGCTCTTCTGCTTCACCACTGAAAATTAGGGGAGTGGAGTAGGCAGAAAGAATTGTGTGAATGAACATGGGGGAGGTGGTGTGAGGTGCCAAGGGAACAACTGCAAGGGAACACAAGCAAGCGCACATGATGAAATAATGTATGGGGAGACAGTGATGGGTGCACGTGCATGGGAACTAGAGGGTGGAAGGTGAGGAGTGAGGGGGAAGGGGAGGGCATGAAAAGGAAGGGAAGGGTTGAGAAGGGATGGGGAAGGAAAGCGCAGGGCAGGGAGGGAAAGGCAGGCATTGGGAGGGCAGGTGACAACTGGGCAGAGGGTGGGGGGAAGGAGAGTGCGAGTGGGAGAGGACGGAGAGAGAGAGTGCGGGAGGAAAGGAGAGTGAGAGTGCGGGTGCCAGGGGATGGGGGGAAGCAGGAAAGGGGATGGGGGGAAGCAGGGAAGGGGATGGGGGGAAGCTGGGAAGGGGATGGGGGGAAGAAGGGGAGGGGATGGGGGGAAGCAGGGAAGGGGATGGGGGGAAGCAGGGAAGGAGGGGTAGCACCGGGGGGAAAGGAGGAGAAGCAGGGGGGGATAGGAGGGGTAGCACCGGGTCTCCCCCCCTCTCAGCGCACCTTCTCCCCCCCTCTGTCCTCTCCTCCTCCCCCCTCTCAGCGCACCTTCTCCCCCCCTCTGTCCTCTCCTCCTCCCCCCTCTCATGTAGTGCTTGACATACCCGCACCATGCGCGATTACGTGACGAATGGCGCGTGAGATTACAGGCGCATTCGCGCTGATGCTAAAGAGGCGCCTCATGCCTATAGCGGGGCGAGCGCTGAGGCTCAGGTGGCGCGTGATGCCTACAGCGGGGCGCACTCAGCTGCTTGCGGTGTGCGCGCTGCTTACAGCTGGGTGCGCGCCCCTTGAAGGGAGGTGTGCGCGCGCTCACCGGCAGGGTACACACCTTTCCCGCGTCTCGGCGGGCCTTAGTCCCGCGACTTCGGTGATATCGCCCCATTGCCGCGTTTGCCGCGTTTGGCTCGTCCCTATCGTCCTTTCCACCCTTCATGCTACTGCGACCTTCCCCTTTCACCTAATAAGGGCGGTTGATGAATGGCGATGAACCCCACGCCGGCAGTTTTTGGCGAGGAGAGGACGAAGGTGGGGATTGGACACGCTAAATTTGATGATTTTCCCGTGTTCGGGCTTAGAGAATGCGGGTCACGGAATGCGCCAAGGTCTATAGGCGCACGGTTTCCCCTACATCATGATCGCGACTGAGTTTTCAAGGCTAGCTATACTAAAAGACGTGGCATATGGCTGGTAAAACACTTGAACTGGTGCCTACACGAACCGTTTTGTCAAAGTTGAGAGTTCTGAGTCTCATAATTCTGAGAGCTGTAAATGCTTGGTTTGCACGGGGAAGTGTGCGACGATGCCTCTGTTGTCGCACGTTTTTCTGTACACCTGTAGATTGGTTCGTGCAGGTGTGTTTCCCAACCTGCGTTGTCGTATTCCTGTCCCAACCAACTTTGCAACACGTTGTTTCCCTTTGGTTTGGTTTTGCCTGGAACGAGGCCCTGTTTCAAACCTCTCCCAACCAACCTTCCCAAACCACCCCTTGCCTTGGTGTGCTTTGCGACAAACCCAGCTGTTACCGGATCCCAAGCGTTTAACACTTGGTCGGAAGGGTGAAATTTGAGACGCGAGCTTTAATGCCCTTGCACTTCATCCATTTCTCGAGCTCCGCATTCACGAATTCGCCACCACCATCGGTGCGAATACACTTGATCCGCTTCTTGTCATCGTCGCAAACTTCGAGCGCCCACTCTTGAATCGCCTTGACCGCATCTCCCTTAGCCTTCAAAAGTCGGGTCCAACACATCCGCGTCGCGTCGTCGAGCATCACTAAGAGGAACCGCGCTCCTCCCTTTGATGCATGCCGCATCGGTCCACACACGTCCATGTGAACAAGTGCAAGCGGGTCCTTAGCGAGGGGTGACGTTCGGCTACCGAATGGCTTGCGAGCCATTTTTCCTTCGACACACGCCGCGCACACGCCCTTCTCGTCGTCGCCGGCGATCACGTCGACTCCCTTCGCAAGTCCTTTGTTGGCCAACTCCTTGACCGAGTCGTAGTTGGCGTGCGCAAGCCGATTATGCCACGCCTTGAGAGTCGCCTTGGAGCCTTGCGCCACGTTGGATGAAGCCGCTCTCGGGTACGTCTTGAGTTGGTAGATATCTCCGTTGAGAACACCTTGCGCGAATTGCTCCCCCTTCCAAAAGAGGTTCATTTTCGCACCGTCGATCGTGGCGATCACTCCCTTCTTCGCAAGTTGCGGGACGGATAGAAGGTTCACCTTCACCCCCGGGACGTGAAACACGTTCGTCACGTCCACCGGACCGCTATCGACGATGAGGCGCGTACTCCCAACTCCGACCACCGGTAGCGATTCGTTGTTTCCGAACACGATGCTCGTGACGTCTCCCGGAGCGCCAATGTTGTTGAGGAGCGACGCCGAGTGCGTCATGTGTTGCGTTGCGCCGGTATCGAGGAACCACGCGTCGCTTGGAGTTTTGTTCCCGTTGCCGGCCACTAACACGAGCGACTCCTTTGAATCATCGGCCTCGCCGGATGCCGTATGCGCGTTGCCCTCTTGGTCCCGCGCCATCGATGGAGTCCAATCGCTCGGCCGCTTTCGACACTCACGCCAAAAGTGTCCCGGTTTGCGGCAATAGTGACACTTGCCGCGATGCTCGCTCCCACCGGACGATTCCTTCGTTGCGTCCTTGCTCCACTTGGACTTCTTTCCGGAACTCCCTCCGGAGTACATGGCGGCACCCTCGCTCTCATTAGCGAATTGTCGGCGACGCGATTCTTCATGGAGAAGCCGACCAACCACCATTTCCTTCGTCCAAGTGTCTTGCACGCTATCGAGTGTCGTAATCACCGTCGACCACTCTTCCGGAAGGCCGCAAAGCAAGGTGAGAATCCAATCCTCCTCCGTGACCGTTCCACCGAGGTCCATGAACGTTTCCCCGAGTTCCTCCACACGAGTCGCAAACTCGTGCATCGATTCACCCGCGCGCATCTTCACCGTGTAGAACGCATTCCGGGCTAGGATCTTGCCGTGGAGAGTCTTGTTCACGTGGATGGTCTCGAGCCGCTTCC